GAGGGTACCCGCGCAAATATGTCACTTCATAAGAAAATTTCGAGCCATTTCATATGCTTCCTTTGCGCGACCAAGATTTCATCCATGTGTATTTAGACGGCCAAGAACTCCACCCACACATCATTATACGACCTATGTGTTGCTTCCGTGCCATCCTAGCGGGCCTCCTCCACCTTGATCCCGATATGATCCTTCCTTACTCTCATCCTAAGCATTGAGGACAATGCTTCATTTTAAGCTTGGGGTGAGGTATTCTTATATTTTATTTTTTATTGCATTTAGGTTGTATAAATTTGCATTTAGAGTAAGTCATTTAGGTCATTCATATAAATTGCATAAAATTCTCTAAAATATTGCATATTTTGTTTCTTTCTTTTCTAATTTTCATACTTTTTAGATGCATTGTAGTTTAAGTTCATGCATTTTTGTTCTCTATTGTCTTCTCATCCGTACAGGTACCATAGCGCCGAGTCATAAGTATTGAATCATAGATTGGTCCCGGGTCTTGATATGGAATTCCTTGTATTGGATAAATGGGACACGTTTTGAGCCTCACATACCACTTTGAGACTGCTTGTGTGGGGGTCAGATGCAGGTAGCTTGATTGGGTCTAGGTGCGGAGGGATGTGATTGGTCAAATGGATGTGTGCGAGCAAATATTAGCCCGGTATGGTATTTTGAATACATTGAAGACTCGCATCTTGGTTTTTGGGGGAATACCCCTTAGGTGCTGTTTGTTTTTCTGAAGCCAAAATGTCTGCAGTCTGCGGACCACATCTGCAAGCCTCTGCAGCAGAAGAGGTGGACCAAACGTCTGCAGTCTGCAATAAGAAGACTGTTTGTTTTTTAACGTCTGCAGGCTGCTGAAATAAACTGAATTTTAAATAAAATTATTTTACAAACTTAAAATGATTTTTCAACACCAAAATTTTAATAATAATAGTCTTATAACATTGAAAATAAAATTCATGCAACTAAATTAGTCATACAATAAAAAAAAAATGTTTTACAATAACAATTTCATTTAAAACAATTCAATGTATATTGTGCATCAACTGATCAGCAATTTCATCACGTAACTGAGTCATATATTCACGGTCTGCTGCAGTACCATGTGTTGGAATCTCGTCTTCATCATCATCAATGGCCACATTGTTATTTCGAAACGGGACATTGGGTTCATCGTATCGTGCGAAATACTCATCACTCAATCCTTCTTTCCTTATATAATTATGAAGCGCGAAGCATGCCATGGCAATGTTTCTTTGTGTCACAAACGGGAATGGTGCCATCCTCTTCAATATAGGGAAGCGTGCTTTCAAAACACCAAAAGCACGCTCAATGACATTTCGAAGTTTTGCATGTCCATGGTTAAATTTTTCTTTATTGGTCAATGCACGTCTTTGACGAAAATCTCCAAGCCAATACCTCACATTACGATAAGGGGCCATAAATCCTCGAGTGTGTGCATACGCGGCATCACAAAGATAATATTTGTCTGAAAAAAATGCAAAACACTAATCAATTTTCAAATTAAAATGAAAATATTAAAAAAAAAACAAAAAATTACCTGGTGGTGGAAACGGGAATGATGCTTGTGGATCGGCTACTGCTTCTGATAATATTCTAGAGTCATGCGCTACCCCTTCCCACCCGGTCACAACAAATGTAAAAATCATATTGAAGTCACATATTGCCAATACGTTTTGGTAGCAATCTCCCTTTCCCCTACTTCTATATAAGTCTTGTTTCTTAGCAGGGACAACAGCATGTATCAAAGTGCCATCAAGTGCACCAACTGCTCCTTTGAAAACCCTTCGTAGCCTCCTATTATGTCCTGGAATGTTTGGATTCGGATTAAAAGATGTTGGTACTATAACATCTTGTGCGAAAAGCATCATTTTTTCCAACACTTCATAAAAAAATTTATGAATTGTTTGCTTCGAGTGTTGAAATCTCCGCTTGATAATCACGTAACGTTGATTATGTCCGATCATCATCAAAAACATAGCCATCTTTTCCTCAACTGATACATGTTTGCTGTCCTTTAATGAGTAATTTGCTCTAAAATGAGCACATAGTCGTACAAAAGATTCACGGGACATGCGTAATACTTCAACACATTGTAAACGATTACGGTGTAATAACTCCAATGTGTATTCGTGTCCCGTCATTTCCGAATCATTATCCCGCAATCGTTTCACACCCCTCTTCCAAAAATAACGGATGTATAGGTACATTAGAATTACGAGAAGTAACTTTTGATCGTGATCCATATGAACCTAAAATCAACAAAGTAGAACTTTAAAAAACATTACATAAACCATATTTCAAGTATCAAATAAACATTCCATTTATCATATTTCAAGCCAAAATAACATTACATAAACCATATTTCAAGTATCAAATAAACATTCCATTAATCATATTTCAAGTACCAACAAGGGCAAAAAGACCTAACAAAATAGTTCCAACAAAGGCAAAAACATTTAACAAAGTAGTTCCAACAAGGGCAAAAAGACCTAACAAAATAGTTCCAACAAAGGCAAAAACATTTAACAAAGTAGTTCCAACAAGGGCAAAAAGACTTAACAAATACTTTCAACACTAGAAAATCATCGAACAATCTTCCCATCCTTCAAAACTCCTAAACTGGTACCCGTCATCTCAAGCCACCCTCGTAATATCTCGGGAACATCGGGCAAATGCATCCACATCTCTCTCATGTTCATGGTTCCTCCAAAAATATGATATGCGACAAAGCGTAAAGGATCTGTAGGGCCTAACTGAAGGACCTCTAACTTCTCTAAACACTGAGGAATTGTATACCCTTTAGTCAAACTTTGTAGAGCTTTCTTCATTTCAAATGCTAAATCGTCAGCAGTAACAGAAGTTCCATCAGGTGAAGAAGCAGACGGTGAGGCACTAGGAGCTACAGGAGTTGAGGGTTTAGCCCTTTTGTTGGGGTTACCGGATGGTGTAGCAGTATATGGTGAACCAGTATATGGTGAACCAGCAGAAGGTGAAGCAGCAGAAGGTGAAGCTGCAGAAGGTGAAGCAGCAGAAGGTGGTGGCTCATGATGAGAAGTGTCAACACCATCATCATCCATTGCATCAAAAGGGGTGGCGGTGATCTGAAGTGGTGGAACACGACAGGAGGATGCGCCAGCTACTGATGATGATTGGGTTGAGTAACTCCTAAAATTACCAGTAGCACTATTTCCATCAAAAAGACGTGCACAAAGATCTGGAAAAGGCAATGGAATTGTTCTCAAAGAAGCAGCTTTCGGATGCCCCTAAACCCAAATGTAACAAGAAATAGTATAAGAATATTTGGCAACTTCAAACGTAAATGTTATATATATATATATATATATATATATATATATATATATATATATATATATATATTATTGTATATTAATGTATATGTACCTTCTTAAAATCATCCCACTCCTCGGCTGTTAAATTAAAAGTGTTTGTTTGAGAATTGTATATATTACCGGTTTTGTTTTTTAAATATACCCATCCAGTGTATTTGGCTTTCAGATTGTCATATGCGTTTTTCATTTGTTTTTGAGTCAACTCAACCCCAAATTTCTCCTTAAGAACTCTTCCAAGCCTTATCCATGAATCTTTCTGTAAACTCAATCCTTTTCTACCAACACTCTCTACTTCTTCAATACAAGTATCCAATAAGCATTTTAAGTGCTCATTGGTCCATTGTTGTTTTTCTCCCATCTCTAATAACCAACTAACAATAAACAGTGAACAAGTAACATCATTATTTCAAGAAAAAAATTTTATTTTCACGACAAATTTGTAATTTTGTTTGATTTTCAATCACAATAATGTGAAACTTTTTATTCAATTATAAATAACCTCAATTAGAGTGTTTTAATTCAAAGTTTTCTAAAAAACTTTATAAATCAAATAAACTTCACTTTAACGACAAAAAACTTTACTTCTATAAAATAAACAAAACTTATGTCTCTTTTTGATGCTTTCTATCATATACATACAAAATCAACAATCATATACATATACACTATCATATAAATATACACAATCAATAATCATATATATATATATATATATATATATATATATATATATATATACAACTTTGAATTACTGCATATTTAAGCACAAACACATCACAACAATCTAGTTGAGGCTTTTTATTGCTAATTGAAGCACAAACACATAATCAAATCTAGGTTCAATTGCTAATTGAAGCACAAACACATCACAACAATCTAGTTGAGGCTTTTTATTGCTAATTGAAGCACAAACACATAATCAAATCTAGGTTCAATTGCTAATTGAAGCACAAACACATCACAACAATCTAGTTGAGGCTTTTTATTGCTAATTGAAGCACAAACACATAATCAAATCTAGGTTCAATTGCTAATTGAAGCACAAACACATCACAACAATCTAGTTGAGGCTTTTTTATTGCTAAATTGAAGCACAAACACATAATCAAATCTAGGTTCAATTGCTAATTGAAGCACAAACACATCACAACAATCTAGTTGAGGCTTTTTATTGCTAATTGAAGCACAAACACATCACAACAATCTAGGTTTCAATTGCTAATTGAAGCACAACACATAATCAAATCCAATTTCACATTCAAGATAAATTACTTTCATTACAAATGTTTTTATTTTACACAATTTAGTTGACAACAATCTTTTGAGGCTTTTTATTCTACCTGTTCAATTACTACAACACATTATTGTGGAATCTTGATCAATAAAAACAGAAACGTGTAGCTCACAGCAGGAAAAAATAAAAACAGAAACGTGTAGCTCACAGCAGGAAAAAAAACGAACCTGTGAGATCGAAGGACGTCGGATCGGAGTTCGGAAAATCGATTGATGGTTAACGCCGGAAAATCGAGCAGGGTGGAGTTCGGAAAATCGATTGATGGTTAACGCCGGCTGCTGCAATCGATTATGAAGTTCGGAAAATCGGAGGACGTCGGATCGGAGAGGAAGGCGGCGATTGATGGCTTTGATCGGAGAGGAGGGTTGCGACGGTGGTGGTCGCTGCAAGGTGGAGAACGATCGAACGATGGAGGGTGTTTTCTGGGAGGGTTGGACGAGGACGGGAGGCGGAAGCAAAAGAAAAAAAGACGGCGTTTTTTTTTTTAGGTTAAAGGGCTTGCAGACTTTAGAAGATGTTATCCCATATCTGTGTGGTGAAGACCTCGCGCAGACGTTTTTATGTCTGCGCACTTCAGAAAAACAAACAGACTGCAAACCATTATGTCTGCGCGTGGTCTGCGCCTCGCAGACAGAAGTGGTCACGCAGACCTGCAGAGAAAAAACAAACACCCTCTTAGTACTCCCTGAGTCTTGTATGAGCCTTGCTTAGTTAGATTCTCACCACCTTTTTAAGATAGGTCATCATTTTTCTAGGGGTCTAGAGTAGATAGTTAGATAGATTATGTTTATCACACCTTGCATTGAGGTGTTTGATGAACTTTGATGTGGGTCCCCCAATTCACATTTTTCAGGACCAAGTTTTTTTGGTAACACCCATTTTTTTAGTCATATCCCACCCTTTTTAGTTGATCTTGGCACATTGTCAATGATCATTAGGTGTTCATGTTAGCCTCCATCCTATGTTACATGGTGAAATTCCTTAGACATTCCAAGAAGAAAACACAAAAAAAAATGAAGAAATTGAAAAAAAGTGAAGACAAAAAGAAACAATGAAGAAGATTAAAGAAAAGCAACAAAAACAAAGAAGAAAAAAATGAAGAAAAAGAGAAAAACAAAAGAAGAACAAGAATCCAAGTCCAATACTTTTCCTTCAAAAAAAAAAACAAAGATCAAGCTACAAAGAGGCTAAAGACCAAATAACAGAAGCTCAAGATTGAAGATTTAAGTTGTTAGGTTTAGGTTTAGGATGATTAGAATTTTATTTTTAGTTTATTTTATTTTTGATTTTGGTGAGAAAAGGCTATGACGATGAGACGGTATACTGTAAAGGACAGTACAAGGGAGAAGCCTCTGAAACCGGATGTTTTCCTGGAGGCCACGCTGCAAAACACTATCTCGTACTATACACTTTAGCTTAACAAATGTAGGAATCATAGTGTGTGAAGAGGCGCCTTTCCTTCATGCACTATGGTCCACATTGATGATTTAAAGTTCCCACACTTGGCGCATCCTCTGTTTCCTTTGTCTTGTACACCGCGACTACATCCAGTCATGATCTATTCGCCCTTCAAGTGGTTCGAGAATGTGGGTCCATAATTTTGACCATGTTGACTGATGTGGACAAAGCTCTATGGTATCTTTCTTTTTTCCTTTTCAGGTTAGCTCATCCCGAGCTCATTTTAGTCGTGTTCTAACTTGAGGACAAGTTAGGTTTAAGCTTGGGGTGATTTGATAGCTTATTTTATTTCCTTATTTTTATTAGTTTATTTTAGAATTTTTGGATATTTCTATCAGTAATTCATTTTATTTTATTTATTTTCTTTATTATTGATCATATCGGGACTTTTTATGTTGCATGAGGTATTTTGTAGGGTTTTGGAGCTTGTTATGGTTGTAGATTAGCTTGGAATGGGCTTTGTGGGCTTCTGAGGCATTATTGGGCTTTGCGGATCCATTAAAGTAAATTTAGGCTTAAAAGGCTAAAGACTTGGATGAAGTGGGATTGTGAAGATGGATGATGGATTGTTAATTTGGGCTTGGAGCATCCATATTTAAAGCTAAGAGATGATTGGTTAGTTTGAATCATGTGGGATATGGAGGGGACCAAAGGAATCTTTGGTAGTGGGATGGTTAGTGGAGGAAAAAGGAGCCAATAGCATTCCAGCAACACTTGTGCGGGTGGAATTTCCGTCGCGCGGGTACCCGCGCAACTGCCCAATTTTGGGCATTTTGGTCATTTGGCTTGCCATTACCTTGGGGGATCATATATATTAGCCATAACATCGATTTTACACCATTGGAGACCAGGGGGGTGATTTGGAAGCTCAATACTCATTTCTTTTCATCTTTCCAAGTTATTGGTAGTTTCTTTATGCAATTAGACTTTTGTGATTTTTATTCTAGTGCCATGAGTGGCTAAACTCTCTATTTTGGTAGACCTTGGCTAAAACATTTGAATGTTTGTGGGTTTTGAAGGATTTATGCTTATTTATCATTTGTCTTATGTGTATGATTCTAGTTCATATCTCCTATGCTTGTTTAATGCTTTGATCATGATCTTGGTACTTTAATAAGCAATTGTTAGTTTATTTCTTTGGTTTGGCATTGAATCATTGAATTTTACTTAGAACAAGGGCTTTATTATGGTAGAAATCATCTCTAGCTTATGAATCATAACTCCTTTATAGATGTGTAAGCACTGACATCCTCTAGGAATTAGGGATTTCTTCATTCTTAAGGCTAATCAACTTCTTGGGTTCAATTGGATCGTTGATTTTGATTAAGAATGTGTGTTGTGGGCTTCCCCAACCTCCATACTACCTATGAGAAATCTTGGCATATCATGCTTCATGATTGCTATATCCAATTTGAGATGAATGATAAGCTTCATATTAAATCCTAATGATAAACACACAAATGTTCATTGTGTTGAATTGCCTTGGTTTAACAATTCTCTCAAATACTTGAGCATCTCATCACGTTGCTTAATTGAAGGTTTTCTAGTTATTCAAGTCTTTAAGTTTTCAAGCAATCACAACAACCCCCCACCCCTCCCTTTAGTTTAATTGTAGTTAATTAGTTTATTTACACTAGTTCTTTTAGATTGCATTGGTGATTGAATACAACCGTTTCCCCGATGATCGATACCCCTTTTACCATTATATTACATTTTATTTGCAAACAAAGTGTGTAATTTGCTTGGTGGACTTGACAACCGACCACATTTTTATGCATCATGAACAACAAAGAGACTGAGATCTAAAATATCCAACTCCTGGAGTTTCACAAACTCACAAGGAGAACCGATGGGACCAAATAAAGCTCATAAAGAACCCTAAACTCAACTATCATAATGGATCATCAAGGTAAGAACTTTATACCTTCAAAAGCTCCCAAAGTTGATTAAGACTTTGGATCTAGAACCTCAACCTCAACAAATGCTTGGTCTCCAAGTTCCTTCTTCTTGAATATATAAAAAAATGCCACAAAAACCACTTCAAAGCTCAAGAACACTCAAATGATGAACTAGGGTTTCAATGGGACGAAATGAACAATAGGGGTTGATGAAGGTATGTGTCCAAAGACCATAATGATGTTCAAATAGGGCTTATGCCCTAAAAAGTAGGGTTTTCATCTGGATGGAGTACGCCCCCCTTACTCTCAGTATACCCAGCATACTCCATAAGTTGCTCGCGATTCTTCTGCCTAGTACGCCCAACGTACTTCCTTGTACGCCCAACGTACTAGACTTAGCTCTTAAACCACTAAACTTTTAGAGACCATAACTTCTTCGTTCTACGTCCGATTTCGACGTTCTTTATATCCACAAAGGTAATAAGGAGCTCTACACTTATATCAACTCACCCTTGCCTTAAAGCTTTTTGAATTACAATCTAAAATCTATAAAGACCCGAACTAACACATTACCAATATACCCTTGGGCTCCAAAACACGAACCAAACTTTCAGATCACCTAATCTATAATACCCACATGCAAAAAGGGTCTAAATATTTCTTTCCTCAACGCCCGAAGCCTATGATAACTGATCTTCGGGTCACGACCCCAAATAATGAAACAATTCGAAATCGGGTGTTACATAATCGTTACACACATACCCACTAGTTACTGCAATTGTTTTGGCACAAAACCACACTCGTAGTTAACTTCAAAACTTAAAATATGCATGAAAATATTAAGAAATACACGCATGATACTTTAAAATCAAAAGTTAAAGAGGCTGTTTTAGCAAAGTTATGTATTGGATTTACACTTGCGATACTGATTTTGTAGTTGAACCTTCAAAAAATTGGTAAGTCGGAGAAAGACAGAGCTCAAGATAGTTGTTTAATGTTTTTTTAAATCCCTCTCAAACAACATCATCCTGATATCCTATGCTAGTTACCACACAGATGAAACCGAGTATAGCAAATCATAACATCCATTTCAGGCAAAAAAATAACAAGTTAAATAAGTTAAAACTTAAACTGAATTAAAGTTCAAAAGAACATACAGTCTATAGTTTAATGACCAATTTTGACCTAAATGTTTAAGTAAATAACATAAATTTGATTATCTGCCCTATAAATAAAGATCATTTTTTTCAAATGTCAATTTCTCATTAAATTTGACACATGTTATTTTATGTGAAATTTAGAATTATTTTTTTTCACTTGTCATTTTTGTGTTTTTTTGTGTTTTCTTTTATGTTTTTTATTCAAGTATTACCTACTAAATGTCACTTCATTATATTTAATTTTATTAATATATCAATTTATATGTATTAATGTAGATAATAACATTTCATTTGTGAATTTATATATTTTAGGTATGGAACAAAAAGGAAAAGAGGTTATTTAAAATACATATTTGAACTATAATAAAATAAAATATCGTTAATTTTGAAATCAAAACTCTGAAATAAACGAGTTAAATTCCTAAAGCTGAAAAATAATTTTACATTATTAAGGTTTTAATCAAAACTTGCAAGTGACAATCATGAAATCAAACATTTTTAATGATACTTTGTAAACAAAACCTTCTAATTATTTTCTTTCTTATGATATTCTTTCTAAAAACCAATTATTCTCTCTCTCTCTCTCTCTCTCTCATATATATATATATATATATATATATATATATATATATATATATATATATATATATATATATATATATATATATACACACACACACACACACTAGGTGTGAGACCCATGTACTATACGAGTTGATTAAAAAATAATTATATATAAAAATATGAATATTAAGTTTTTTTTTTAAAGAAAACATTAAATATCAAAGTGTAAAAATTAAATATTTTTAAAGTGAAATTTCAAAATATATACAAACAAAATGAGGAATAAATAAATACTTCAATTTATACTAATAAAACAAACTACATAAAAATAATTATATTTTGGCCACATAACTATTTTTTTAGTTTATCAATGAAAAGAAACAAAGTTTGATTATTTTTTATATGTAGACCATTTTTTCTAAAATAACAATGAACTTTGAAAGAAAAATGTCAAATTTGAATTATATATATTGAAGAAAATATATTAAAATTTAAAAATATAAGGAAACATATTAATGACACGTTAATTACTTTCTATAACCTAAAAATTAGAATAGTTAATTAAGAAAATCAAAAATTACCACAAAATGACAAGTGAAAATTATTTTTTAAGAATTAACCACAAAATTACATGTATCAAAATACATGAAAATGTGACATATGAAAAAAAAAATCATTTATTAGCATACTAGGTGTGAACCCCGTGTACTATACGGGTTGACTAAAAAATTATATATGAATATATAAACATTAAGTATTTTTGTAAAAAAAACATTTAATATTAAAGTGTAAACATTGAGTATTTTTTTAAAATAAAATTTCAAAATATAAACAAACAAAAAGATGAAAAAATAAATAATTCAATTTTTACTAATAAAACAAACTACAAAAAAATATTTATATTTTGACCAAATAACCGTTTTTTTAGTTTGTCAATTAAAAGCAACAAACTTTTATTTTTTCTATATAGACTATTTTGTCTAAAATGATAATAAACTTTGAAAGAAACATGCCGATTTTGAATTACATATATTGAAGGAAACATATTAAATTTTGAGATATAAGGAAACAAATTAATAACACATTAATTACTTTCTATAACCTAAAAATTAGATAGTTATTTAAGAAAATCAAAAACTACCTCAAAATGACAAGTGGAAATTAATTTCTAAAAATTAACCACAAAATTACATGTGTTAAAATGCATGAAAATATGACATGTAGCAAAGATTTTTATTTATTACTATGCACACACACACATACACACACACACACACACACACATATATATATATATATATATATATATATATATATATATATATATATATATATATATATATATATATATATATATATAAACGTTACACATTTTGACATTATCTCGTTTCTCTGGGAGCCATAATGACAATCATCGATTAGTTCCATCAATATGTGATTTATTAAATTTAGTTTATATATATATATATATATATATATATATATATATATATATATATATATATATATATATATATATATATATATATATATATATATATAAACGTTACACATTTTTGTTTTTAATATCTATATTATTATTTACTATTAATTTTAATTTTTTAGTTATTCAGTTAAATATTATTTTTATAAAATTTTATGGTTATACAATTTTTTATATTTAACAACATTTTGTTTGAATCAATATAATTTAAACATTTATATAATGTTAGTTGTATTACTTTAATAACTAAAGAATAGCTACTTAATTAAGAAGCATGAAAACTTGGCTTTACTTTAAAAACTAAATAATAGCTACTATAAAGATGTAAAAATAGAATATGTTAAAAGTGCAATATATTTACAAAGTTTTGCTACTATAAAGATGTAAAAATAGAATATGTTAAAATTGCAATATATTTACAAAGTTTTCTCTTTGTTGGATTTTTTTAAAAGAAAATTTGTGTATATATATGTGGATATTTGAAGACTTTAACTATGTTCATTACTCCTGAAATAAGTGTTGGTGAATTCTAAAAAATTAATGGGTCTTAATTGTTGCTTTGTTATCAGATTTATTAATGCTTAGTTATTTTCTTAAGACTGGGTTGTTGTAGTATTAAGCATTAACATGGTGGCTTGAATTCATCACAAATTACTTCAACGAGTGGTGTGAGTTCTTTGAATTTTAGTTGCATAAATTTTTTCTACCTTTTGCTTCCTTATGTTGAAGGCAATTTTGTAAAAATCATTCGACGCTTGGCTGGTGTTAATGGATTATGGGCGGTATTAATCGGGACCATAGATTATTAATAAAATATTAAAATTAATCAAAAATTAATATATTTTAAGAAAAATAAGTAATTCAAAATTAGAAAATAAGAGAATTTGAAATTTGAAATTTTGAAAATACGAAAATATAAATACTTTGGTATAATATTTGATATTTTGGAAATTTGAAAAAATTTGGAGTAAAAAAAAATTATTTTTTGAAATTCTTTTTGACTTTTTGTTATTTATTTATTATTTTTTTTACCAATTAATCCTGCCAAACCCGATTAATCCTTAATTTTCGTCAAACACACAAATCCTAGTCTGTTGGAGAACATCTCGATTTCTTCAACAATGGTTGAAGGGTATAAAAGTTATTATGATCAAATAATAACTTTTGAATACGAATGATATTGCCAGATGTATAGATTGAATTACTCACTTATTCATCATATATAGATTATATAACTACTTATTCATCATGTATAAATCGAATTACTTATTTATTCATGTCATTTATATTTATTTCAAAATTTTACTTCAAGTTATTTAAATAAAAACTTAATGTTTGCACTTAAAGATTTAACTTTTTTTTAATCGTGTTAAACTCATGTAGTGCTTGCTTATGAACGTAAATAGCTATAAGAAGCTTTCTCGAAAATAAATGATAACATAGTCAATCTCAAAAATATTATAAATGCTTTGTTTATGAACGTAAATAGCATAAGAAGCTTTCTCGAAATGCTATGACATATTTCTCCAACTAAAATAATTGGCCTACTTGCTATGGGCCCAAATAGTGTCTAAACTGGACCAAATCAAGATTCAAGAATCCATGTCTTTAAAAACATTAGACCTCTTAAAAAATGAAGATCAACACACATATACAGTTCACTTGTGTATATAATTGATGATGTATACATACCTTTTCAGCTAAATGCACACACACATACAAATCTGATGTCATTTTTTTTGTGGATATGGTTTATAGAAACAAAAGATTAGACACATAAACACAAGCAGATATATTATAAGTTCCCATCACAAAAGGTTACAAACACATCAGTTTACAAACAAGTGAGAAGCCCAGAAAAACCAGGATTTGGTAAAAGAAAAAACAACCCTCACCGGGGTTGTCACAATAGGCTGAATAACCACCCACCATGACCAAATCCCACAAAAACCACCAAGCCACCACCGCCTGAATCCCTGACAACCTGTAACCTTCAACAACCCATGACAGAAAACCAAAACTAGACTCTAAGACATAAGACACTAGACACAAACAAACATATCATCATAAAACACCAATACATATATTAACTGACACACACCAACGACTAGGACTAGGACCCATTGCTAAAGGTTGTCTCCAAGAACCAAAACCAAGCATCAGTATTCTCAAGAAAATCTGGCTGGAAAGAAGAATAGAAGACCTTATAAACAAGGCCAAAAATTCTTGAAAAACAGTTTAATAAAAACTGTAAAAAAAGAGAGATACCAGCCAAACCCCTTGGAAAAAAAGAGAGCTTTGGAGTGATTCCAAGAAAACCACTTTGCAACAGACCTGTAAAAACCACCGACTCAAAAACTAATAACTGATTACCGACTTAAACGAGAATATCACATTTCCATATTTGCCCTTCAAGAGCACCAACTGCAGCACTTGTGACCCCACGACATTGCATCATGTTCAAACCAATAAGTGATTCGCCCAACTTCTTCAAGAAAGGTAAGCTCTTGTTTGAAACCTGGCATCCAGAAACCGAAAGAACCTGAAGATTCAAATGCTCAGCACATGCCAATGCTGCAATTGCAAAATCAGTGATTGCAGATTTTGAAACATCAAGTTCTCTAAGCAATGAGCAGTTCTGAGTAACTGTCACCACACTTGCATCAGTAATCAATCCACAACCATCAAGATTCAAGACTTCAAGGGTCCCACCATGGGCCATGGAGATTTCCGACACGATCTTGTCCGTTAGATTCACACACCCGCTGAGATCAACTTTCGTTAGACCGGATTCAGAGTTTTGAATGAGTGATGCAACTCCGGAATCAGTGATTCCGGAGAGCCCGGTTAACACAATGTCTTGAAGCTGGGGGCAAATCCGTCCCAATAAAGCCAAGCTGAAGTTTCCAAATTCCGGGCAGTTACGGATGGTTAAAGATTTTAGGGAATTGCAAGGGGATAAAGTCGAATGGATTATCATCGGTGAATCTTTAATCCCAAAACATTTTGTCAAAGAAAGATTCTTTAATGCACCCGAATTCACAACAAATCCAAAGATTCCGAGCTGTGTGATGATGTGGCATTCTTCTAGAAGAACAGTCTCGAGTGATTGTGAGGCTTTAGCAAATGCTACAAGCCCGTTGTCTGATAAACCTGATTTCCGAATGGAAACAAGTTTCAAATTCGGGCAGCCCCTGCCCAAAGCTTCAACCCCAAGATCGGTCACACCAGTACAGTTAACAATCACAATTGACCTCAGATTTTGTAACCCTTGACCGCTGCCCATGACCCAAAACCCCTTTTCGGTTACGTTATGAAGGTCAACTAGAGTCAACTCGGTCAACGACAAACCATAGTGTCCAATAACTGCAAGACATGTGTCACTAACATTTAAAGCATGGAGTCTCACTTTCATCAAAGAAGAACTTGATGATGATACCAAGCTTACAACCCCTTGATCTCCGATTTGAGAACAGTTTTTTAACGAAATCGACTTTAAATTTGGGCATTTTTGACCAATTGCTTGAAGGCCTTCGTTTGTGATGCTTGAGCAAGATTCGATTGAAAGTGATGTAAGATTAGGGCAGTTGATTGCAATCGCGATTAAAGATTTGTGGGAAATGTTGGGGCATTGAGAAAGTTGAAGCTTTTCAAGATTGTGACACTCGTTGGCAATTTCAACAACACCTTCATCACTAATGGAAGAGAGATTCCATAGGGTAAGAGATCTAAGAGAAGTGCACCCATGAGCAATAGCTTTGAGCCCAACATTTGTCACTTTGCTAGCATTGTTTCCAAGAATAGAAAGATCACCAAGACCTCCATGACCACTTGATCCAACACTGATAGCTGCAAGCCTGATATCTGTTGCTTTCTTTCCTTTTAAACACCTTGTGAGGAACCCGTTGTTGATTTCAAGATCTGCATGTTTCTTGTTAGAAATGGATGACACTGTTTCTTTGACTTCATCCCTGCGGATGGTGCTTAAAAGCATGAGCCAACGTTTTGAGACAAAAGCACATGAACTTTTTTCTTGGCTACCAGATAGGCGTCTGAAGATCTCAAAGAGGCATTCATCAGGAAGAGCATCAATGGTGGTTTGCTGCTTTTTGAAGATTTGTTCAGAGAACACAAAAGGGGCACTGACTCTTGACCTCTTGCGAGGGGGGAAGTACACATCGACATGGTGACCAAGGGACAAGAAGAGATTTGACTCTTCTGAAGCATGGTATTTTGGCATACCATGGTAAAGAACATCTTCACCTGAAAATATAAGTTCAGGAAAAATTAATATAAAGTTTTTCAAGAAAGAAACAAAAGCTAAGTATAGATCCAAAACATAAATCAGCATAACTAACATCAAAGAGTAAGAGAAAGTTTCCGAGATAATCAGGCATGTCCTTGTGCACATAGTTTTTCTACTCTTAATTTAACGCAATTCAAGGAGGGATTTACCATGTGATCATGTGATTCTTATGCAAGTTTATGTAAGAACTACAACTACCAAGTATCAACAGGAAGTTTCACCAACAAATAAATGAATAATTGGTGGATTTTAAGATGAGATCTTCCAAATACAGTCAAGTAAAGTAATAATTTCGAGAACCCCTGATAAAATAACTAAATAACGAAAATTGAACAGAAATAAGCAAACTAACTAAGGGAAACAGCATAGAATCGAAATTAGCGAGCGATTAAAGACCCTTACCAAAGAATTTCTGCATGAGTACAGTTGAGGAAGACGTAAAAGAAATCCGAGACTTGAAAGCCCAAAAAACCCTCGATCGAGAGCAAAAAAGAGCAGATCCACCAACAGGAAGAGAATTGAGAGGTGTGTAAGCGATGAATGCATCAAAATCTTGGAGAAATCATATGAGTAAACAGAAACCCAGATATGATTTTAGGGCAAAAAAAGGGTAATGGAGAAAAGAAACGTATGATGGCATCATTGATTGACTGAATTGATTTATACAAACGAGGAAAGAGAGAGAAAGAGATGCAATGAATCCACCCAAATGCTTTGTGTTCAATGTTTCTTCCTACTCCATTCATTTCCCTATCACGTACCCCACCGCCCCAACCCCCTACCTCCACCCCCCAAGTTGTTCATAAAAGTAAATAAATTACTAAAAAACAATTTAATTGATATTTCGTATAACTTTTTTTATTTTATTTTTTTTGGACTGTAATAAATAATTTCAAAATATTATAAGCGAATTAAATGGATATTTGCTACAATTAATGACATTTTGACTCTCATAAATAACTCAATGTATTTATAAAAAATATTAAATAAATTTATTTTTTTAATTAAAATGTTGTTTGTTTTTTGAAAAAGTAAAAATCTATTATCTACAGATGCAAAATAAACAATTGTAGTTTATAAAAAGATAATTTGTTTTTTTAAATCCTACCCTATGCATAATTGATATTAAAACACATTAATCATGGATGATACTAAACAAAGAAACCATATGTACATCACACATTAACCATGTTCATTTAGATGATAGTTAAAGATGATGTTGGTAGCGGAGATGGTGATGGTGGTGTAGTTGTTGCAAAATAGATGACTGAGGTGACGTAGGTGGTGGTGGATATAATGGATGAGGTAGTGGTAGAAGTATCGAAGGGGTGGTCAAAGTGTTGGCGTCATGGACGGCATAAATGGTGTAAGCTAAAAAAATCATTGAAAAACAAAACTTGACAATAAATTGTTGTTTTTTTCCTAAAGTTAGAATATTAGAGCCTCTCTCCCACCCACCAAAAAAAATACATTTTACAATTTCTAAAAGAAATACAATATTAAAAAATAGCTTTTAAAATTAAATAAATGCCATCTAAGTTTATATCATACAAATAAAGACAATTTAACTTTATTAGGATTATGCTTTTGATAAATATACATAATAAAATACTTACGAATTATTATTAAATTGAACCAGGATTTGTGGGAAATAAGAAATAAATTATTACTGAGAAATATGAGAATAATATCTCTACCAACAAAATGGAAAAGAAAAATCAATGATCAAGATTACATGAATAGTTGGTTACAAATGATTATATAACAGTTACATCCCTACAAATTATGAGTACCGGTTAGTTTAGTGGTTGGTTAACTTGATATTGAGATCAAAAGGGTTTCCATTAATCTACAATGCATAGTTAGTCTAGTTGTCACCGTGTCGAGTCATAATTGTTAAAGGACTTGACTGTGAGGGGGATCGTGACGAGTTAGACACAAGAGATAGGGGTTAATGTTGCCTTCCTAAATAAATATTGATGTGAAAAACATTATCAATGTACTTACATACTTTGCAAATTATATAAATATGCAACCCATATTATAAATGTATTACATTTATTTATCAAATAGGATGATTATTTGTATTTAACATATTATATTTTTGCAATAAATTTTTTATGTATATGATATTTTTCGTGTTGTGAGTCATTAAATGTGATTTAACTTGAACATTAATTAATTTAGAAATAATATATGTTTTATAAAATCTATCAAAAATTATGAGATCCAACATATTTGACAATAATTTATAAAAATAAAAATGTCAGCTTAATTGGAGTTGCAATAGATTAAGAAGCGTTCTATAAGTTGGATTGGTTGGATCCATGTTAATATCCTTGTAATTTTTTCGATCTAATCTTTTTATTTTTGTTGGCTCTTTGTCAGCTTAATAAATTTATGCTTTTCAAATTTTTTTTAGAGTAAATTACACGAATGGTTCCTATGGTTTAGGGTAATTTGCACGTTTGGTCCCTAACTTATTTTTTTAACTCGGAAGGTCCCTACTGTTTGTTTTTGTTACGCGTTTGGTCCCTGTCTTACATAAAAAGTCTATTTTTCCCTTTATTTTTTAATTTATTTAAATAAACACACCCCTAATCTCACAATTCTCACCTTACCTTACGTACCGCATTATTTTTTTCTATTTAAATAATAGTCTTTTTAGGTATGACAGGGACCAAGCACGTAACAAAAACAAACAATAGGGACTAGACACGTAATAAAAACAATCAGTAGGGACCTTCCGAGTTAAAAAAATAAGTTAGGGACCAAACACGCAAATTACCCAAACCATAGGGACCATTCATGTAATTTACTCTTTTTTTTATTAGGAGGTTACTTTTAGTTTTGGATAAATAGCACAAAAGATTATAAGTTTATATCAAAATTCTAATTTGACACTGTATTATTTTGTCTCAAATTTGACATTATGTTTTCCAAATTTTTACAATTCTGACCACGTAACCAGTCAACCCGATTATCTAGCTGACGTGGCATACTGACATGACATGTTGACATGTCAAATTTGAATTTTTTTTCCCACAAAAGACACTGAGTTTTCGTTTTTTTTTTTTTTTCGATTTTGACACTAAGTTTAATTTTTTCTTTCAATTTTCACTATGTAATTTTTTTGTTCCAAATTGAACATTATTTTTTTCAATTTTTTTCAATATTTATTATTTTCCATTTGAAATCGTATAAATATTTTTTAGTACATTTTAAATCGTATAAATATATTTTTTTCATTTAAGTTTTCATCATTGAAACGATCAGTGTCCAAAGGTCTGGTTTGCAACTTGTAAATTTTTTACATCTTATTCAAAACTTATTGTTAATTTGGTTCGCATGCATAACATTATGCTTTGAATGTAAATAATAATAATAATAATAAATAAATAAATAAATAACCTTTTATTTATATAAAAGTGTGGTTTTTAAACGAAAAAAATATATTTATACAGTTTAAAATGTAATAAAATATATATTTATACGGTTTCAAATGGAAAATGATCAAAATTAAATAAAATTAGAAAAATGATGTTCGATTTGGAATAAAAATTCAGAGTGTCAAATTGAAAAAAAAAAAAAAAAAAAAAAAAAAAAACCCTTAATGTCAAAATCGAAAAAAAATGAAAACTTAATATCTTTTGTGGGAAAAAAATCAATTTTGATACATTAACATATCATGTCAGCATGTCACATCATCAAAAACTAACACGTCTTCATATCACGTCAGCAGATAATTTAATTGACCGGTCAAATTGTTATAATTGTAAAAATTGAAAAACAAAGTATCACATTAAAATTTTGATGTAAACTTAGTATTTTTTTTATTATTTACTAAATATTAAAAAACTTTGTTTAAGTACCTATCCCAATCGGTAATAGCAGCTCCACATAAGAAAAATGATATGTCGTCTTCATGATCAATCAATGACATCATTAAGTTAGATTGGATGAGGAAATGACAACTAAAATTGATTATATACATTTGTGATGAACTGATGACGTGTCCATATATTTTTATATTCATGTAGCTCTACCCTTGTAAGCAAACTCCTAAAGACACTTAATAACCGACACTAATGGGTTTATGGGGCTAATTAAAATTCAAAGTGCATTGCAAGAGTTTAACACCTTATTCTGGAAATAGCAACTTTTAAATACTTTAATATCAGCAAATAGCAATATATATATGCCACCCAAATGGATATAATTACTACTTGTGATTATACAATAAAAGCAATATGTCATTGTACAGTCACATCTATTAGCTATATCCAATAGATATTGTAACTACCCCTAAAAGTCATGTCCCAGTATGCCTAATTTACACCCTAACACGTCAAATAAGATGAGAAATGAGTGGTTATGTTTTGTACAAGTTTTAAGAGTGTGTACGTGTGCGTTATGAGTATTCGACATGGAAACGTACATTTATCGTTTCTAGTTTGAACAAAAGCACAACGAACATGTATCGTTCCTAGTGTGAACAAAAGTACTGTATAAATATAAAAGTACAATATAAACAAAATTGATTAATTTGAATGTATATTTTAGAATCTAATAATAAAAATTGACTGTTTCTAGTTATAATCAATTTTAATAATCATGGTGCGTTGAATGACTTATGAACGCATGTGTGAAAACAATCACAAAGTGCAAATTGAGAAAATTTTATATATAGTCTTGAAACGAGGGCGGCTTGTCAATCGTATTCAATCAACCACCATTATATCAACCAAAAAAAAAAAAAGTACATCATATTTTTTAAAGAAAAAAAAAAAACCCTTTTAAGTTTTAAAGTTTTAAAGCACGTTACTTTATGCATCTCAAGTATCAACCAGTCTTCAATAAATGAATAACGTGTCCATAGTTTCCATCACAAAACCACCAACCCAAAATAAATGCCCGAATTATTTTCAAGCCAAATCCATTTAACAAATCTCCAACCAAAATAATGATAATAATTTTGTGCAAAGCCAGAGAGAAAGATACGAGTTATTTTTTTAAAAACTAAATAGTAAATAATCATGTCATATGTAGCAGTTTTACCAGAAAATAGCCATCCATTATCATTATCATTATCCTTATCATTATCATTATATCTCTCATCAGTCATACAACCCCTCTTCTTCCCATACATCCACAAGAAAATTCACCATTTCCTGTCACATTTTGGAGTCAAAACTACAATAAATATCAACCAAAATTTGTAAGCAAAATATATACGACTTACAGGTAAAGGAATCGCCTTTGGAAAAGGCTTGTTTGTCCCAAGCAGATTATCATATGTTGCATTCCAACTACATGATAATTACAATTACTCAAATATATATTTAATCAGATTATATATATACATTATATAAAGTTTATCTAACCTTATGGCAGGTTCTTTACCCTTCTTTTTGCGTTGTTGACCAGAAGAACCCTTATCTCCAATCCATTGTTGCCTTGTCTGATTCCAGAGAAGGAGACCACGGTTTCTGAATTCCGGAGGATTGGTTCCGGAGGTGGAATTGGAATTGGAATTGGAATGGGAATGGGAATGGGAATCGAGGTTAGGGTTTGACATGGAGAGTGATGATTGTGACTGAGGAGCACTGTTGTCCATTTCATATGTGCTGCTGCTCCAAAAGTCTTGAGCCAGGTTGGGTTTATTTATATTTATGGTTTTGTCTTTTTTCAGATTTCCAGGTGGCTGTTTTTTATCATTGCTCATAAATGGGACCTTAGGACATCCAAGACAACCTCTGTTCTGTTGCAAATAAGGTTTACAACCATAAATATCATTAGCTCAA